CCGGGAAGGAGGAGGAGATAAAGAACCAGGCAGGCACTGCCATGGACAGCTACTTGCCGGTCACCAGCAAGCTGCTGAGGTCCCCACAAGCGCAGGTGCTCAGCAGCTGCTGCAGTCTAAAAATATATCGGTATCTGCCTTAAAAATCGGGGTATTTTCACAAGTACAAGTACTTGTGAAAATGCCTGGTATCGGCCCTGATACCGATACTAGTATCGGTATCTGGACATCCCTAGTTAAAGTTAAGATAACTAAAGCTAAAGGTAAAATGAAAAAGCAGGTCACCAGCACTCAAATTATTTAAATAGATATGTCCTTTTTAATGGACAATTATGTCACGACAATCAACAAAGACGACGTTTCAGGGCCGCGCAGGGTCCCTTCTTCAAGGCAGATAGATGTGACCTTGAAGAAGGGACCCTGCGCGGCCCTGAAACGTCGTCTTTGTTGATTGTCGTGACATAATTGTCCATTAAAAAGGACATATCTATTTAAATAATTTGAGTGCTGGTGACCTGCTTTTTCATTTCGTACTTTGCACGGTGCCATCCGTGGTAGTCACTACAAGCACCATCATTCTTACTGGCCGGGATTACTGTAAGGCAGGGGTGCCATTAGGTAGATCGCGATCTACCGGTAGATCGCAAAGCAAACACTGGTAGATCGCGACCAGCTCACTGACCTGAGCTCCCTCCCGCGGTGCTAGTGCGGCTGAATGTGTCAGACGTGTGATGTGAAGGAGAAAGAGAAGGAGCGAGGAGAAAGAGAAGAGACGGCCAAGACAGAGGGCCACCACAAAGTCTGCGTTCCAGAGTGTTCGGCCCGTAGAACGCACAGCTTGCTGCATTTTTGCAGATCGCACTAGACCCGGAATGCAGGCACTAATGTGCCTGTTTTACCGGGTGCGTGCGATCGCTCTGCGGGCTGGGGGCGCGGCTGCCGTGCCATTGATTTCAATGCACCGACATGCCCCTGAATGCAGGTGTTTTTTCATTGGTAGATCTCATTGAGCTCCTCATTTGAAAAGTAGATCTCCAGACGAAAAATTGTGGGCACCCCTGCTGTAAGGTGTGCGGAGAGCACCCTCATCAACTAAAGCTAAAGGCAGACATTGTAATGTAGAAGGAACATGCTATGCCACTTCTGCAATAAAACGAACATCCCTGCCTGTTCACAATCTTCTTTAGAATGTACACTGGGTTGTGCATGGGCAGCTCAGTGTACATTCTGGGTTCCGCAGCTGCAGAGATCAGGAAATGTCTCAGTGCCTGTGATTGGCGCTGCGCGCTGTCAGCTTCCTGGTGGGCTCGGCACGTGGAGCTGCGAACACACCTGAGCCCATCACTAATTCTGAGCACACCTTGGTGCTGGAATGAATGAACTCCCATGCACATGAGCAGCAGTTATATAATTCTGACCTGGCCAATCAACCTGATATCTCATCCAGAAACAGTCTGGGTGAAGATGTACCGGCAGTTGAGTGAGGGAGGTATGTTTACTTCTGATATAAAAGCATGCATGCCAAGTAAGGTGTAAGCATAAGACCTACAGGTATTCCAGGGGGCATATGAAGATAGTGGAAAGAACAGGGGGCATGAGAGAGATGAGGGAGAAAATAGGCATATCTCCTAAACCTACAGGGGTAGGTTATCATTAAAATAATTATTATTTGTATTATTTGTATTGTATTATTTGTATTATTTGCCTAATGTTGTATAAAGTACTGTTGCAGCAATGCAGAATGGCCCCTCTATAGAGGACTACAAATCTCAGCAGTACTTTATACAGAAATGCCATTGTTATATAAAGTATTGCTGGGATGTGTAGTTCTCTATAGCCTGTGCCATTCTGCATTGCTGTAAATATTAGGGATGCACCGTATATCGGCCACCAAAACATATCGGCCACCAAAACATATCGGCCAAAAAGGGCGACAGCCGGCCGAGCGCTGCGGGAGGAGAGCGCTGTGTTTGTGTTTTTTTTTTGGGGGGGGGGGCAAAAAAAATCTTGCACCAGGGCCCTTTGTTCCTTAGGTCCGCCACCGTGTAAAGCGATGCATACATTGCTGGTGCTATATAACAACTACCTGTAATAAATAAATTCAACCTTGTGAGGTTAAAGAGACCCTCTTATTTGCTGATTCTAGAGACACACCAAAGGTCACTTATGACACATGAGTATACCTGTACACATGCCGAAAGAGAGAGAGTCACAGTTGAATTCTCTGTTACATTATTTAAAGCAACATTCTCAGACCTGCTCATTAGCTGCAGACCACTTCCCAACACAGCAATCATTAAAAAGGCTGTTTTGAAAACAGCACCTGTCGCAGGGCTCCCACCTTAGGAAAATATTATCTCATGCTGTGTTTATAAACTATAAAGACAACTTGTCACTGAGGGACATCTGCAGCAAATGTTATTTTGATGGAGGAAAGAGGGTGATTGTTTATATCCCAGTATTTCCCCTGGCAATGTGCTCACATACTTTTCTCTACAAAAGGATGGATTTGAGGCATTATCTAGGGTCAGCATCTACTGTACTTCCTAGGCTGAGATTTTAGAGATGACACTATCATGTAGATCAATGTGCCAGTTCAGTTCTTGGCTGTGTTCTTGGCACAAATGCCTGACACAGATCAGCCTACTGCTGCAGACTATTACTGTGTAACTTTTATTAAAGGGGAAGGAAGGTGATTGTAATGCAATAGTCACTATCCAAACAACTGGATTTGATTCTGGAACCACTAGTAATAATGAGCTAGTCTGTGAAGCAAGCAGTGAACTGCTAGTATTACCTAGGAAGCAATGGGCGCGATTTATCAAAACTGGAGTAGACAGAATTTGGAGCAATTACCATTAGCAACTAATCAACTTCTTCATTTTCTTCAAGTGTCGAAAATTAAAGAGAAAGCCTGATTGGTTACTATGGGCTCCTGATTCTGTCTGCTCCAGTTTTAATTCACCTAAGTGTTTTTCTGCTTAAAGAGGAACTTTGCTGGGCAAAAGTCAGTAGCTGGACGTACTGAAACATAAGAAACATATATTTGCCAGCCCATGAAGTCTAATACTGTCTTTCACAAGGGCGATTCTTCTCTTTTGTGCTCCAAGCTCGCTCCTGTGAAGGACTACAATCTCAATACAAATGAGTAAACTAAACATGAGATTGTAGTCCATCATGAGAGTGAGCTTGGAGTGGTGACTACTTTACAACACACACAGGGACCATGGGGAAGAAAAGTAGCCACCCTCCAGAAGGAAGGACAGTGTCCGCACCAATTCAGAGATGATTTGAGGATCTGCAGCCGAGTGATACACAAATAAGATACATTTTTCTTAATAGTTAAGGTACTTGAATGCATTTTTAAGATTTAACACCTGAGTCTAGTGTCACTTTAAGTCTGCCTTTGCATCATTCGAGAACCACACCCTTCAGTATGCCATGTGCATGCAAAGCACTGTAATCAGCATCAAAGTACTGCAGATAAGCGTCTGAAAGATTCCTGAATTCAGAAGTTGATATGAGAATTTTTAGATGTACATTGAGATTAATGCCAATCCTTACCTAAACTACACTACAAGAATAACCGGAAGAAAAAAAAGGAGTGCTAAGAATATTGTAAACCCAATGTTGTCATTCATGATGACTTGAGATGCTTCCAAAATCTTTGAAATATCTTATGCATAGAACATATGTACATCATATCAGTGCTTGACCTTAAATCTGAAAACACATTTTTAAAACGGAAGAACCACAAATTTTCCACATGTTCCCCAACATCACTTAACTACACAGTACCCATGTGTAGAATGACACTAGGGTCGTTTCATTCATTGTATCACGTGTAACTGCAGAGCAGCACTAGGGTGGGGACTATGGCTTGCAGAAACCAAGGCCGTCAATTACTCAAGAACAGCGAGTCCCAGCCAGCCTTTCGGCCAGTTAGGCAAGCTTAGACTTCTAGTTCCACTGCTATTTCAAGACACATCTTTCTAATGCCTAATCTGCACTATTACTTTACATTTAATAAGTATATCTTTGTGGACAATCCATGATACAAAAAGAGAAAGGGAGCAATCCAGCCACCCTCTCTACATCTTCAGGCTGCAGCATTATTGTATCACAATTGAAAGTTCTTTGTTACAGTAGTTAGTTCTTGGCTGCAGTTGCAATGGGAAGTGTACACTACTGTATGCAGAATGGAGGGCACACCCAACCTCCGGTACCATTGTACTTCAAGATGTAGAGAAGTGTGTTTATCCCAACAGATCTGTATTATCCAAACAAACTATAAGAACATACATTGATAAACAAAACTACTGTCTGCAAACAAACATATCTTATATCCTAAAATGTTCTGCGAGACACAAAATTAAAAGCATAGCTCATGCAGACGTATCTATTGGGGCAAAAAAATAAAGTGTGGTAACCCATAGCAACCATTCGGGAACTTTCTTTTATTCTTCTGACTGATCTAAAGTGACATAAAATTAAATGTGATTTTAACTGCCGACACAGTCTTAGAATATACCCCAAATTTTTT